TACAAGAGTCATACAGCTGCAAGCGCACTACCTAATTGAGCAAACAGATCAAGTGAAGTGAAGCAGGACTGATTAGATCTCACAGCATTCTCTGTGGTGAGATGTCATTGAAAATACAAAGGCTGGCTGAAGTGCAAGTCATGAGTTTGTTGATGCTAATGGAGAAGAAGGGAAAATATCAAACATCACCCCAGCTTCAGCAGTCTGTTTACTTCTGACCAGTAGGGCTGCAGTGATTAATGAACTGATTGTGACGTTGTATTATAATTATTGTAATCATTATCTGGACTATACAGACTCAAAATTTCATATTAAAAGACCATTTCAGTGTACAATAGACATAATTATTTGCCTAGTCGACTACTAAAATAACCATTAGTTGTGGGCTTTACCCATAAATAGTGTGGGCAATTGTGTGTCTATTTCTTTCATTTACTTGAGCATACTATTATGGTTGAATGCTGAACAGTTTAAAGGTCGACAATATATTACGCAAAATTGACTCTTGTGAGCTTTTAGTCATGTTAGAATAATGTTACATCATCAGTGACATACCTGGAGTTGTGTTTTGTTTCATTCACACATGTTTGAATAACCCTTTATTAAATCAGTCTACTTCTCCAAAGTTCAAAATGCTCTGTTCCACCTTGTGATGTCATGTAGTGGTAGTTTTCAAGTTAAAAGCTTTTACTTTTGGTTCAGTAGAGACTAAAATTCTAGGGCTGAAATAATCAAAGTGATTCTAAGGGAAGGTTTAGGGAGTTTAAAAACACAGTGGAGCATAACACTGTTTTTTCTGTTTGAAAACCTCAGTCTAAATATGCAGGGTTTGTGTGTTAAACATGTGTGAATGAAACAAAACACAATTCTGGGTATGTTTGTGATGAGGAAACATTACATAGATCAGAAAATAGATTTGAAAAAATAGTTGCATTTGAATTTGCCTTGATGTCATTGCTTGCATTAACTTCATAAGTATTCTATCTTCATAGTAAGCTTTGTATGGGTCAGGGGTCATTACTTTTTTTAACAGTAACAATTTTATTAAGTGATTTCTCTTCTATCTGATCCAAAGTGCTCTTGTGTCTAATAATAGATATTGCTCTTTCCACCATTCACTGTAAGTTGTCATTGAGTGATTGCTGAAGGGCCAGACTAGATCCCGCCATTCTTCACCTAAGCATTATGTGGACATGATTAAATTTGGAGCAAAGAGAGAATGGGTTTGGTTTGGCAAAGTAGAATACCTTCGGCAGAGCTGAGGTGTAATTTCTGCAGTCTACAGTGGCACACTATCAAGGCCACAGGTAATTCATCTTGTGGCTCCAGCATGACTTGTGACCTAATTAAATGAATAAAGATGTGAAGAAACCCTCATTTGCGAAGGGACAAACACACAGCTGCAGTGGAAAGGTAAGAGGGAAAGCTTCTCTTTGTATAAGGCAGAATAGTGGCAGATGAGAAGCCACAGACGGGGGAAAGGCTCAGAGCTGAGAGCATTTAAATGGTGCTCTGATTTACATGCAGCTGCAGTGGCTGCCTCATTTGTTTTGATAATAGCTCATCGCGCACACACTTTATGGGGCGCTGACTCCACTGCATGTATACGTATCTGAGTGAGTTAACAAACAGCTCTCATCTGTGTTAGGCTTGATGGCTGCTTGTCTCTCACATCTGGCTTCCCTGCCCATCTCACAACTCATTTTGTTGTTTCTCTTGAGTCATCAGTTGAACAGAGGATATGCAGATTCTCCTTGTGTCCCTGGAGTCCATGTGGTCAAAGCACCCGTGAATAAATTCTCATTAAGCCCTTCCTTTCCTGAAATTGAACTTGGGATATTGTTGTTTGTAGTCGCAAGCAATTGGAACAAATGACTGGATGTTGCAGAGGGAAGATGGGATTCTTGCTTTAATCAGACCACCCCCACCTCTCTTTCCCTCTCTCTCTCTCTCTTCCTTTCTTTCTCCAGGCCTGTGGAGAGTATTGATGATGAAGTCAGCTGCAGGAGAAGACCCTCCTCTCACTCTGACAGAAACATATTTCACTACAGGTCCCAGGTTGCCCACTTTGGGACTGGTGACATCATCAGAGCAGTGAATTCATAGGCTTCTCTCAGCCCTCTTCTGTAACATGGACTCTTCCCCGGCTGTTTATGGGACTGTCTATGTGGATGTGTTTGTTCTATACAAATGCACAATGACAACAATGCTGTGATCACAGGCAAAACTTCTTTGTGAACAAGAATATATAATTTATAGAAAACTGAATTATTAAATCAAATATATCAAGCATAAGATAGTAATTTCTTCATTCAATTGCATATCTCTTGCCAACACCAAAGAGCCTTAAAACCTGTAGGGGACTCATCCTGTAAGCAGTTTGGCAATGACCAGTGCTTTGGGTGAGAGCGTTAATGGTGGAGTAAATAAAATTCTCTCTGTAATCACCAAGTGGACAAAGAAAGAAAGGGCATTGCTTTTCTCTGGGAATGGGAAAGAAATCAGCAGAAACCATCATATAAACATGCGCATAACATCCTCTACTCCATTTGCACCATGCAACAGACTGGGAGATTCAAGTGGACAACAGATGTGGTCACTTCACTCTGCCCTTACGCGATCTTCCTGTCAAAAAACTCAAAGTCGGCCATGGCCACAGAGCTTACAGTTCCATGGAAGGAAAGTCTCGCTCATGAACTACAGAAGACCTCACAGTTGAAGCCTCTTCTCGAGGTTGAGACACAGCCCTATTCCTATCACAGTACTCTGCTGTGGGCTTCTTCATCAACTGCATCATTTTCTCCACAGAATTGTGCTATAACCCAAAACCCCAACTCTAGGGAGGTATTGCTTCTGCAGCTAAGGAGAGTTCATGATGGGGCTCACAAAAGATTGGAGCTTGAAACCTTGCGCAGATGAAGCTCCACCTAGGTCAAGTGTTCAGGTTAAGTGGTGAAACACTCTCTCCACAGAGCCACAAGCAACATTATTTCCTCGAGAAATGGGCACCATAACCAAACTGCTTGAGCTTTGCTGTTTATAGCAGATAACTCTTGTTGTTTAATTCTTTTTAGACTTATGTTGTTTGTCTATGTGATCTTGGTGTTTATTCATCACTTTGCAAACTGCAAGTTATTTTGGCTCTCCACCCTTTTCTTTGTTTGAATCTTGATATGTTGTATAGCATTTTATTATATTTCATGACAATTAAAATGTCCCATGATTAATTATCCCTATATTTAAACCTCAAAGCATTGTCATGACAACCCATCTACATACACACAATTGAAAGATCATTACTATTACTCAAAAAAAGGACTACCACCATGAGTCCCAGTCAGATAAGTCTACATACAGCATAACCAATTTCACTTTTCTCCATTAAAACATGCTGTATTGAATTTTCATCAACCCTACTGTGTAGTCCTCAGCAGTAACTTGGTTAGGTTTACCTGAAAGCAGAGTGTTGCCGGTGTCAGCTTGTCACATGACATTTACTTTGTGCTCCGCTCTTATAGACTGTTGCAGGCTGCACCTTTAGCTCTCTGGTGGTCTATGCTGTACAATGTCCATTCACTATGGATGCCATTTCAGCTCTGTTTATTGAAATATGTGATTTTGTCATCCTTTGTTTTCCTTTGGTTATCACTATTTCAGTTTAGCCCACTTTGATGTCTTGAGTAAGCCATTTCAAATTTCAAATTCAAGTTGTTACAGCGCCATCATTGGATAAAAAATAATCGACCGAAGGAAAAGAGCGCCACCTGAAGGGAAACAATCTCACTACATTTGTGCTTCTTATAAAAGACTACGTATTACTGACTCTTTATGTCACAGTAATACATTGTCTACAAAGAGTCATATAATCAATATTGTACACCTTCACTCATGATAAGAAATAATTTGCTGTTAATGTAATTCATCTGTTTAATGAATTAAACATTCATATTAGTTACCACAGTTTGAACGTTATTACGGCCAGTTATTTTATGTAAGTGTTCCTTTCAAAACGATCGCCCAATTATTGAAATAAATCCACATTTATGTTTAAGCATAAAGTAAAAATGCTGCTCACTCCCAAATATCCTTAAGGTGCCTAGAAGCAAGGTTTCTACTCCACTGAGAGCAGAGCTCCTTTACTGTTAACAGGACTGCCTGGTAAGAGGCAAGTGCACAAAATAGCCGAATGTGTAACGTAGAAGATTGCTGAGATAGAGCTCTCAGACCTGCTATTGCTGCCTTGAGTGGGTGTGTAGTGATTTCACTTCTGACGCCTTATTCAGGAAATTGAAGGAAGGTGCTTTGCAACAATGAGACGAAGCCAGGCTGAAAGGCAGTGAAGCAAGAAAAAAATATAGGCTGCCAAACTGTGCACTGTGATCTATAGTGGAGGTGGAGTTTGTAAGCAAGGACTCTAGCACCTCCAAGTGGCCACAATATAAAATACACGACACTGAAACGTGGCTCTTAGAGGAAAAGTGAATGTTCGATATCATTAACTCTTACTTTATTATTTTAACTGTAATCATAATTAGTTCTGTGTCCATCAGCTCATTGATGGTGGTTTGTGGTATTTAACTTTTTCTCATTGTGATTATGTCATTGCTCTGGTATATCAAAAAGACAGAAAGGTTTCATTTCCAGTTTAATCCAGATGAAGACTTGCAATCAGACTGATGCTTTCTGTAACACCACTTTCTTTTGCAATCACAGATAAACAGCATAAAAATAAAGTTACATCAGGCTAGAACTTCTTGATTAACAACGTAAAATGTGATCGCAAAACATAGAAATTTCATGACATGCTAATTATTTCAAAATACTACCAAAATAACACAAAACATTTCCCACAAATATTTGTAAAATGACACAGCAGTAAACATCTCCTGCTCTAAGAGTGATATTTGCTGCAAAACCAATGCAAATATCCAAAACATATTTTCATGTTCTAACCATCATTCTTTGGCATATGCTTTGCATTAGATATCTATTTTCCAGGGCTACATCTGGTTCTGGTCGTATTGCGGGCTGGAGTACTGGTCCTGCATGGCCCCTGTTGCTGCCCCTAAGGCTGCCTGCTGTGCTGCTGCCTGCACATGGGGGTTCTTCCACGCCCCAGTGGCCCACTCCTCCTGGGCTTTGGACATGCTCCCTCCACTTCCTCGGTAGAAGTTGTGAATCTGCAGAGGTAAGATCTATAGTAAATATCTCTTAGGTTTTGATGCATACCACATTATACATACAGTGCATCCATCTTTGTCTACCTCTTGTTTATCATAAGAAAACAAAACTATGACATATCTTTATGAATTGTTAGAACTACCTTTTACACATTTATTGGCCTTACATTTTTTTAATCTATCTCAGCACTGACCAAAGCTGTTACACTTGAAATATTTTCTTTTGTAATTAGTTATTGATTAGTGTAGTGTCGTAAAATCATACTTTGAAACATTCTCCATGGAGATAGATACATTTTATAGCATACTGTGGAAGATTATAGCCAAAGGAACAACATTTCCATGGAAAAAAACAGGAGGAGGCCATCCTCTAGGCCAAATAAGAGTCAGGTTTGTGAAGATGCAAGCCTAGAGTAAAGGTATGTGTGTTTTAAGTGCAATAAAGCCAATCAAATTGAAAAACATGCTTTTATTTTATTCTATTTTGGTTAAAAAGTGAAATACTGTGGATTTAAACCATAGGTGGAAAAAGATTCAAAATATTTAGCTCACATAGAGATATTAAAAGGCCATAGTTTTAAACTCAAAAGACTCAATGCAGTGTAGCGTTTAGTCCTTACCTTGGTCAGGGCAATAAAGGACAGCGAGGCAACTGCAGTGAACATGATTGTTGGGACAAGCATGATCAGTGCAATTAAAATATTATAGCTGAAGAAGGAGATGGTAGCCAGCCAACCACTGCCAAGGACAAACACACATCACGTAAGCATTTCACACAAACTCTGACAATCTCCATGTTATTGAATAGTGTCCTTCAAAATATTACTGCTGCTGAACATCTGGAGGTGAAATATCAATTCAGTCCAATTCTCATACAGGAGGATATTCAACATGGAAAACATGGCATTTATAAACGTTATGAAGGCTGACATAAGATTAATATCACATCATTATTCGGAGTCAGATGACATTTGAGGCTGTCTTTAACTGCCTCTCAAAATCTAATAAGAGCATTAAAAAGTTATGTGAGGGCCATTTCTGATGGTCCATCACTGTCAGTTTAATTAGACCACTGAGCAAAGAATACCCATTTTATAGCCCTAACATTTTACAAGTTCAACAACCACAGAGTAACTTAAATGTTATTTCCCTCACAATGGATTAATAAAGTTCCTTATACATACCAGTATTTTATTCTGCATTTTTAGATAATGTAAGCAGTTGATATAATTGAGTATATCATTTCAGAATGACATTTCTGGTGGATCATACATGTTTGTCTCTGTGGAGATATTGTTGCTTTGCCTGGAATGTTCCACAGTATGACATTACTGTCATACTTTCTCCAGGGACACAGGACACAAAGCCAAATTTCAGGCCAGATCTGCTCACAGTAAAAATGCAAGTTTTCCTAAATGTTTTGAGCAATAAAATACCTGTAATTAAATAGAGGCAAGATTTAAAACCAGTTGTAGTATAGTAGATAATTCTAGGCAAAGGAATAATATCTCCATGGAGACATAAATGTGACTACCAACCAGAAAAGTTACATAATAATACCTTTAACAGCATAAACCATGTCATCTTATGTTACTCTCAATCACTTCAACTTACCAAACACCCCACCCAGGGATGCCTATGCTCTGAATAATGCTGATTCCTACTTGGGCCATGAACACAAAAAAGAACAGCATAAAGTTGAAAGAGCTGTCAGTCCTAAAAACAAAATGCAAAACCCCAAATTAATTGATTGATTCAAACAGTACAGAAATATAATGAGGATGTGATTGAAATATGTACGCATCCTGTCTCTTTTAATTGCTCCTCAGGGGATAAATAAAGTGAATGCAATTAACTACATTTATTTGAAGTAAAACCAACATTCATATTCTTTTATGGGCAAAATAATTCTGACTTCATGCAATATTAGCCAATATAGCAGTAGGTTCCTATTGCTCTTTGGGTAATCGTATATTCCTAATAATCTTGGTTGACTAACAGAGTTAACTTACTTGAATGCTTTGTAGATTGCCCTGAACCAACACACATAGGAGCAAGGTGTGAACATGATGAGCCATATGATGGACAGCCCGAAGTTTGTGACTCCACCTCCTCCGAACATCCAGGCAAAGCAGCCTATGAGATTCACTGCAAGTGTTGCAGTGTTCACTAAAATGCATAAGCAACAATGTTATCAAATGAGTGCAATACACATTAAAGTCAGTACAAATGAAACGCATGGCCCAATGTTAAAGTGTTTTGACACAAACCCAACAGTTGGTGGGTCAGATATGACATGGGGCTGGACATTTTACCCACCTTGCCTATTATGAATGCAGTATGTGAATGGTTAGTGATGTAAGGAGCTTTGAGTGTCCTTCAGTTTTATTATTTTGTTTTATGTATAAAAAACCTGCATTTAATTTAGTTAAATTTGTTGACATACTTGCATTGTTTGACTCAATTAGGGATGCACTGATCCGGCTTTTTCAGTTACGGCACCAATATCAATACTTTGACTTTATTTGACTTAAAATTTTTTGCTGATAATCAATATTAACCGATACCAGTACAGGAACTGAGAGTGGCACTTAATTGCTTAAAACACAGTTAACTTATTATACAAGAGATCCAGTAGTGTTATGCAACTGTTATTTATCCTTCTTGTAAGTACTGAATAGCTTCATATGAATAAAGTTCAAATATCTAGGCCAAACTCAGTCTGTAAATAGTCAATTAAAGACCCAACCAAATGGTCACATTTTTATATAGCACTTAAAGCAATTCACATCAAGGATACTACGCAGAACCATACCCAGATACTAGGGGCAAGGTGGGTTAAATGTCTTGCCCAAAGACACAACAACAGCATTCATCTGTGGGAGCTGGAATTGCATCGCCAGCCTGTGGGTCAGTGAATCTGAATGCTCAACCAATGATACGAACATCGAGAGTGGGATTCGAACCACTAACTTCTAATCAGTGGAAAAACTGAGCTACTGTCGCCCAGATATTGTGGAAACAAAGCTAATTTTACAGTATCCAATATTCAATAGCAGTATGTATTGGTATTGGTGAATCCTTACTCTCAATTTAAAATGATGGCACAAAGATGCTTATCATTCCATTGATAGAATAGCTTGAGCATTCACTTAAATAATGAAAAGCATGAACTCATGAAACAGAGAAGAACATTCTATGCAAAAAATGTTGTGACTCAACAAACATAGAGACAAATGGCAAACTGAACAGAAAACACACATGCCAAAGAAATATACTATACTACCTTATGTAGTCTATTTTTACATGAGAACTCTGTGGAGAGAAAATTATTTACTATGAGGCACAACTCATTTAGTTTAGCAATTCCTCTATGAACAAAAAAAAAAAAAAAACATCTCAGCAGGCATACCTAAATATAGGAATAAATATATCTGAGTATATCAGCAAATACATGAAAGAAAGCAAGAATTCCAATCTTTCAATTCAGAAAAATAATGAAATAATTACATTTTTTGAGGTTCTCCCTTAATCATCACCTTGTGTCCTAGTTGGTACAGCATTGTCCATCTTTTTCATGGGCCAATAAATATAAATAAAAGAATATTACTCTGTAAATGTTTGGACAGGGCTCTATTCCAACTACAGAAATTACAGCTAGGTGGCAGGGCTCTTGTAAACACTTTGGTAGTACTTCATTCAGTGCACAGTGCCTAAAATTTCCCTGAATGTCAGTGTAACTCACAGATCCACAGGTGGTACATCTTCTTGCACAGACTGCGGTGCTGCTCTGGGATCTCCTCAAAGTCCTGATAGAAGCAGGGTTTCACTGGGAGGAACCCAGGAAGTGGAGGGAAGTTTGGTTCTGCACAGTAGAAGCATGTTTAGAAACGCTAATGCCATTTGGATTTTACTAGCATAGGCTTAGATTCTACTCACCAGCCATTGGGAATGTTTTGCCAGAGTATACTTGTTTTCAGTCTACAAAAATTAAGAAAATGCATTTTATACACATACATAACTAAAAATACACGTTTGTAGTATAGCTAAAGCATGCTAAAGAGAATTTGCATAATCAACAAACTCAACATAGTAATAGATTTTAGTATCACCATGTTGAAAGTATGCTAATGATTTCACATTGGCGTTAGATGGCCCCGATGCTGGGCTAGATTTAGGTTATAATCAGCGCTAGCTCTAAAGACATGTAATGTGTATTGTCAGAACTCAAGCTAGCGCACATAGGCATTAACGATGTTCAGAGCAAACGTAAGCTTCTTACCTTCAGCATAAAGTCGCCTCTTTCCTTGTATAACGCACCGTCTGAGACTACTGTGGAGGAATGTACGAGCACATAGACTATGGGCGCTGTGCAAATCAATTCAACGCCTATAAAACTGATAGAGTATTTCTTTTGGCACAGGATAGCTTCACAGTAGAACCTCGAGTCTACCAATCAGCGCGCTTGGCACATTGATCCACACCAATAGACAGATTACTGTAATCCTGGATGTGCGCCTGGTCCAATCACTGTTCAGCTCTCTGTCCAAGGTGCTGAACTACGCTCAGGCGCTCTTCATTCATACTGTATTAGGAATTAAAGAAAGGAATTTGCTATGATCTGTTTTTGTCTGTTTAAATGTTTACAGATACTTGCTTTTAATCTGACCACTACCTGTGTACAAATAAGAACTAGGCTATAGCCATAACATAATAATTTTATTATAGCCTATATGAAATTTGACTTTACCGGAGTTTAAACATAATGACCGTGGTAAATATGTCTAATCTACACATTTAATGCATAGAATAATTTTGCTATAGAATAGAAACATAGGGTTGCAGAAGCAATCTGTCCATCAGATGTCACTGTTTTTCTGCTGTGTTTGACCGAACGATTAAAGGAGTTTCTAACATATTCACGTCTGTTCCAGTTGTTGAGTATAATTAAATGAAAGTTCACTGAGTTTTAGAATGACTATGCACATGTACCTATAGAAAAGACCTACATGCATTTCCAATAGATCTGTAATAATATCCTCCCATAAGGTTCACGCCAATTCCATATTCTTTTTTTGTAATGAACTAGTATAATTTCTCCTGTAAGCCTTGAGTCTCATATGCATGTGTAATGCTCTTAAGCCCCGGCCTGCACCTGTCATCTCTTTCTGGAACTACTCTTATTTTTACAGGTTATAAAATAAATACATCCATTCAAATTGTATGGTTGTGTATTTTTATGTGTGAATTGTTAAAACATGTTCACATGTTCAGTTTAAATGTAGGTTATATACATTTAAATGTGAAAAGCTCAAGCTATAGTAACAAAACTAGTGTATAAAAGTCATGACTTTGGCGAGATAATATCAGAAATGAGATCTACAAAAGGGAACATTAAGATGATGTGCATTCGTTGTACGAGCTTGCACAACAGAAAAGTGAAGGCATAAATAACATGAATCAGACACACTTGTAATACACTTTTAGTCTTTGAACCAACAACTGATATTACAACTGTCCAGTTTCAATTTCAGTTCAAATGAACTAGACATAAGTGCTTGTTGTTGGACACTCCATATCCCTACTTGATGTCCTAAATCTCGGCTTGGTGCCAGCTTGTTCCCGTCCCATTGTCCTTCCTAAAGAAAACCATTTGCCCAGTCACCCTCTATAAGCCCATGTGCCACCGTTGTCTTAGTTTCTATGGTGACGCTTTCCTTCAGCCCAAGCATGTGGATGGCACACCTCCAGCAAAGAGAGGTGGAATAACACTGTCGCAAAGGCGGTCGTACACCAGCCTCATTTGCATATTTAAACATGGACTATGAACCACAGCGTAGTGTTTATTCACCAAACATTTCCTAGTGTTGAATTTTAGCCACTAAAATTAGTCATTCCTTGATAAATGCACACAAACATCTTTCTGGCTGCTAAACCGTGTTAAATACAATAGGTCTACATACATATGAGGAGATTACTCTGGGCATTCTCATTAATGGGTATCCTTTGTATGAATGCTGCAAAGAAAGCATGTCTGGAGTGGCGTGGTTATGTCACTGCTTGTCCAGCAGAGGCCACTGTTCTACCTTGGTGTCTGCATCAGTATGTCCTCACTTATTCAGTAGGAGACACCGTGCTGTCAGATGGAGTTGGGAATCTCTGACCTTGAGAGAGCTCTAAACACAGCATTAGAATACACAAACAACATTCATGTAAATAAATAGAACTAGTGTCCTAGGAACAAGGACAAAAACAAGGAGAGGAAAGTGAAAGAATATGTGCTTTTAATGATAATAGGCTACTTTCTTTATAGAAATCAACAGTGCCTGGCCTTGTTTCACTGTCAATTTGCACTTCAGCTCAATAGTAACTACTTTATATTACAAAGAGAAAATTTATATGCTTGAACAACTGCAGTTGTTGAATATTGATCTGGTCTAATAATTCTGACTTCTTTTTCATTTTAGAGTGCACCAGAGACACATATTTTAGACATCCAAAATCTAGTAATGAGATTATTAGATCTCTCTAGTATAGCCCTTTTACCACAGTCGCACCACACTTATTACTCTTATATTACCTTTGTTATTATTTATAACCAACCTCAAACCATAGTTGAGGTTAAGATATATAGTTTAGAGCATGGCCGTCTGGTTTATCAGAGATCCTCTGGTGTAGACCTACACTGGGTCTTATTACTGAATGTAATCTCCAGTATTGTGTATAATCATTTTATGCACTAGATAACAGATGAGAAGCTGCCAGATTATGTTCATTTTTATTATGGAGGCTCTTGATGAAAATGGAATTGTGGGAGATTCCAGCTTGACCACAATCACAGAGGACACTGCAGTCCTATTAGTTTTTCAGAGTAATCACATAATCGGACTCTCAGACACTGGGGGAATGAATGAATCTCATTCACTCTCATCATCTTAAATCAATCTGTACCAGGCTTAAATGAACACCATCAGATGAACAATCTAAGGCACAGGAAATAATCATTACAGGCATTCTCCATTTCTTGAATTTAACCTGACCCTATAGTCATACTTTTAAACTAGATTCCGACTATGGACTCTTTCTTTGTGTGTCATTCTACACTGTTCATTTCTCCACATTGTATTCAAGCAGCAGCAGTTGTATTTTATATGCACTATAATATAGAGTGAAGTAGCTTCCTAAGCCTCCCTCCCTCCTCAGCCTCAGTGTGGTGTGAATGAGCACGGTGCTGCCGCTGGTACGAGTGATGCTGCGAGCGCTGCACCAGGCGAGTCTTTGTCTGCGGAGAAGGCTGGGCTCCAGCTGGCTCCCGCTGTGTGTTTGCATGCACAAGTCAGTGGGTCCCTCAGCACTCGGTGCAGGAGGCGAGCTGTGTGATTGATTGGGATGCACACCACCAACGCCCCCGTTACCACCCTCTCCTCCTCCCGCGCTTCCTGTACTCCTGCTCCAGGGGCACATGAGCCTTTTTCTTTTCTCCATTTTTAGTCACTCAAAAGAAAGCATGCAATAATTCAACAAAATGGTATGACTACGGTCAGGCTGAGTGAGGGAATGTGAAGGAAAATGCCATCATTAAGGCCTATGCTAATATTCATCAATATCGTATTTAATTGGCATTACTCAGCCTTCCATTTGAAGTAGTGTTGATGTCGACTAAATTATAAGCGCAGGTCTTTTCTTCTCAGACATCATTCTTCAAAAATTCTTCACACTTTACTGACAAAGGATGAACGGACATCCCATCAGACAAGGAAAGGGCGCCTGAGGTAACGCACATTAGACTCATTTGTAAGTCCAAGTCTATCTTCATAAAACGAGCGGTAAGGGCGAATCTTCAGTGCGCCCTCAAAAGGAGACGAGCAATAAGAAAGAGAGGTAGCAGGAGAGGGGTGTGTTAAAGCACTGACTGCTTTTCAGGACCCCAGCGACGACCAGCCAGCCAGTGTCTGGTGAATGTGGTGCGTGTGCGCGTGTGCGCGTGGAGCAGCAGCAGCAGCCAACACACACACTTTACATTCGTTCACAACATGGCGTTGAAGCGCCGAGAGACACGACGGCTCTCCCCCGACTAAAACAAGTGCTTTGTCAAGAAAAGAACCAGCAAGTGCACTGCCGAGCTAAGAGGGCTGAACCTCCACTTAACACGCTTGTGTTAGGCGCTGCCGGGGACAATAGTGGATCCAAAGTATGCAGTTCGCTGTAACGGTATAGCTGGTTGTATACGCTGCACGCTGCTACCCCACTGGTGGAAATCAAAGGCTGTACATGGCGGTGGAGAGTACTATTTATCTGCTCTGTCTGCTTTCACTCTTTTGTGGCCCATCCAGACAAGGTAAGGGGCTTACTTCTTTCTCTCACTAGTGCTGTGTTCCACGGGACTGCATGCGGAATCATTTGTCTGAAGTACAGTTCACCCACATGAAGTCAGACTGATACACATTTATAGTAGCGGTTGAGTTTGCACCTTGCACGGTCCATGCGGAATGTGTGTTTTTTCTTCACCTCGTGTGGCCTCGCTCGTGCTCGCAGGGCATGGCCGAATTCTTCATGGTTCGCTTTGTCAGCATACACCACGGGGCTTTGGTGCTGCAAGTTTAACAGGGGTCGGAGGAGCACGTTATCGCACTGGGAACACAGACTTTCCACACTTGGGACAATTGAATATACTAAAGTAAACATAAGTTTTAAGACAAGTCTAACTTATGGAGTCGTCTTTTTGATTGCATATCTAATTATAAAAGCAGTTGTCCAGTCAAGCAAAAGTGAAACTATGTTACCCACCAATTACTGCTCATTGCACTTGGTACTACGCAGAGAATATGAGTAATAATCTAGATCTATATTGTAGCAAAACAGGCAGGGCTTAGGAAGGTGAAATGTCTGTCACTAGAGGCCAAGAGTTGGTGAACTATTGCCACAAAGAATTACCATGACAATGACCAGTGCACAATATGAATGCCTGAAAATACAAAGACTCAAAAATAAAACTCAGGCATTATATTTGACTGGTGACCAAAATAATATACTTTCATTCATTGCACTTAGTTAAATATGTCAATTGTCTGTTAAAGTTATATTTTCCAAAAGGAATACGTCAAATATTCTGTTCTGAATGTACTGATTTTATGATAGTAGATCTTGGAGCTGACTATATTAGAAAGTACAATGCATCTTATGGTGCTGAAATCCTTTTAGTTGAATTACCAGACAATGGAAATCAACTATATACAATCCAAAATTGAGCAAAGAATGATTAAGTTACAGACATTTTTTTTTCTCATGCAAAAGGAACTGAATTGTATTAATCATTTATTATTTTCAGACAACTTTAGTTTGCGCAGTCTTTGCTTTGGCTTTTTTGGGGCATGAATGAGTGTTGTTATTTTTTGTATGATCACTCCTCTTTAGCTCAGTGACTACAAATACATAGTTTTAAATATGTCTTTTAGTGATCGGAGCTGTCCTGTGTTCTCCCATATGTGTTCATGTGTTGATCTTTTACAATGGAACACGAATGCTTGGCAGCTGGGGAAGGTTCCAGGACAGGAATGAATTGGTGGTCTCTGCTGGGGCAAATATGGGGCCAAGGGCCATTCGTTCAATTATTGACAATGAGCTTGTTTTGTGCATTCTTATGGAAGATCAAATAGGATTGTCAGCTTCACTTAGCACATTACTCCACATAAGAACAAAACAGAAGAGTAAACTTTCCCCGAAGTACAGAAAGAATAGAGAACTGTGTCTTTGCTCTTAACTTAAACTATGTTGTTATACCTACTGTCTCAGCTGCACTTGTTTTCTCAGCTTGTACCTCCCATCTACAACCTAGACTAATTAATGCCTAGTATTACTTTATGTGAATATCACAGCTTCATTAGCTCTGCTTCAGTGTGTTACTTTGTACAAGCAGAGACAAGTGTGGAAAACTAATGTTGTTTAAATCAAGTTTCAGCATACATCATGTTTTGTTATGGGGAAAAACAGAACATGAATTGTATCTCAGTGTGCTTCTGCTGCCAAAATAGTCTTTTAGTTTTTATGCCTCAATAAATATATTTGTGACATACAGCTCTGGTAGAACTCTTGCTGGTTGTGGCTGTGGGCTTCAATCTTGTAGTAGATTAATGCCTGCACATGTCAATGTCTAACTGTTCACTCTTCAGTCCAGATGAACATTAAAAGCCCACAGCTGAGCAAAATGCTCTACAAGTGTTATATGCAGCACAGAACTCATGCAATTCTTAAGACTTGTTTAGAATGACTAAAGCTTTGATTGAAGGAGCATTGTAGTGCGCTAATGAGCATATAGCTTCCCAGCCTCTCAGCCAGATATTCATAGACTTAAATATTTGATGACAGCATGGGCTCAAGTGTCACTGCATTCAAACACACCTATCTTCTTCACACAATCAGAGCACACTCATTCTTCACTTGTGGTGTTCTATATAGCCCTATATTTGCAGAGAAATGTATATTTGCAGTGAATCTTAAGTCGCTTTACATACGAGCCAAGAAAGGTGTGAATGTGGTGCAATTCATAAAGTCTTAAAAATTAGGTGTTTTAGTGCAAGGGTTTAAATGTATGGGATATTTTGGATCAAACACAACAGTTCATTTGTTATATTGGACATATTATGTAACATCTGTTCTGTTTTCACCTACCCCCTATCTCCCCCCACACGAAGCATACTTGCAGTTAAACAGGGTACTTTGAATTTATTTAGTTTGGACCAGTTTTTTGGAACCTCAAATGGGAATGATCATACATTTACTTTACTATACCATTTCTTTGAAAATAACTTAGGATGCCTACAAATATACCTTGCAATGAAACTTTTTGATACATAGGTCCACCCTAAAACATAAAGACATTGCATTAATGCAGGTAACATGCCTTTTTAATGGCCCATTGTATCTTATTGTAAACGCCTGAATGCAGCCTGTGTGGCAGGCAGACCCAGCCACTGCAGGTGCCTGCTCCTCTCCTGGGCCACTTTATGAACCTAACTGTCATTTTTAATGTTTTAAAGTGCTCAGCCTGGGGTGTTGTGTGTGTGTTCTATGGAGGACCAGCTGTTCTAGCTCCCATATAATAACATCTACAGAATATTAATGGCTGTTTGCCTCTGCCAGCCTATGCTTTGATTCACATGTACTTTGTGCCAAACATTTACTATATACAT